ATCTATTGTCAATGTTACTCTATGTTCTATGCTGCGATTTGTGTGTCTGCTCTGATCCACAGATACATCATGTGCTATGCCAATCCTGTTAAGAGAAATCCCAGAGCAAGGTAGTATGGGAGAAACCTTATAAAATAAGCCCTTCTATTCACTTCTGTGAAATGTAGTAGTTTAATCTCATTTAAAGGAGGAGCTGTGAAAGGAAAGAATGGAGGACTTATCAGTTGTGGTAGTGTTATATTAGATAAAACTTAGAGAAAACAATTTAAGCTGGTAACTTAAGTTGAGAAGATTTGTGCCAGTGATGAGATGGGAGAAATGGATTCCTAACAAGGAAACAGTGTATGTCAAAATACATAATGTGGGAACGAACATGGAATATTGAAAATAAACCCAGAAGTATTGCCAGTGAACAAAGGGGAAAGGAGTGAAGGAAACTGAAATGTAGAGCATGAACAGACTGCATGTCTGGCCACTTTCATTCCCCTCTCTAGTGCTGGACCAGACAAGATAGTCATCTTCTTGAGGTCAGCAATCATTTCATAAATGCATACCTTTTAAATAGCGAAGGGCTATGATCTATTGGGATCTCAATGTATGCATTTAATAAGTAAATGAGTGATTCAATTGCATAGATTTTATATGGTTGTGGCTGAGAGGCAAAATTCTTTCAATGTTCTGATGATCCTCCTAAATTATGACTGGGAGATACAGGAATAGAACCCAAGAAATTGTACCTTGGTTAAGGAACTGCTGCATGGAGTTGTTGTAGGCATCTGAAGAGTCTGGGCATGGCTCTCAGTTACAGTTGTGCTGGCCACCGAAGATTTTGGAAGCTGACTCTGCCCACTGGATAGCTTCGTACTCTTGGAGTCAGAGTTTTTCTGTTTTAGTTTTTTCTGTATCTGAAAGTAGTCATTTTTTCTGCTTAACAGCTTTAATATGTCAATGGTTATTATGTTTAAAGTTTCTGTTTTTGTATAATTATGATAAGGGGTGGCAGAAAAAATGGCAATAGGAAGATGGTACCTGTTTTAAAAATCTGCTGAATGGGCTTTGTATAAGTTTCTGTGAAGTCTGAGGATGGTTCACAGTTAGAGGTGCTCTGATGGCTGGAGATGGTGGAAGCTGACTCTGCTCTTGGGAGGACTTCATACCTTCGGAGTCATAATTTTGGTTAATTGAGTCTTTCATATTCTGAAAAAAGAATTGCATTTTCTGGTTAACAGGTTTCAATATGAGATGAAGCCTTAAATATAAATATATATGTATATATGTATATTTTATATATGTGTGTGTGTGTGTGTGTTCTCTCTTTTTTTTTTTTTTTTTTTTTTTGGGTGGTTGTGTTTTTTTTCTTTTTTTTTTTTTTTTTTTTTTTGCA